AGCGTCGGTGCCGGAGCCGGGCGTTGGCAGCTCGCTTTCCTCTCGCATCCTCCCTCCCTCCCCGCCGCCCCGGAGAGAAAATGCCCCCTCTTCCCCGGCGCAGATTGGCACAAGGTGCCTGCTGCACCCTGACATCTCCCTGGACTCATTGTGATTTAAATAACAGCCCTTTCTCATCTAAACAAAGCATCTTAATAGCAGATGCAAAGAATTCAGCTCATCTGAAAATCCAATAGCATTTAAGTGGATTAACTGCAATAACACAACTGAGGAGTGATACTATCCTTCATGGAAGACAATAGACTGTAAATGCACAGCCAGGGAGACTTATCCTTTCATCTCTGAATTTCCTTCAGCATTTCAAAAGCGAATGCTTTCTAGAAGCCCTGAAGGGGTTTGCACGCTACTGGCTTGGACATGCTTCTAGGAAACAACCTGTGCTTTAATGGGCACTTTGCAATTGCATAGAAGTTCCCACCAAAACAGAAGTGGCCTTTCAAGTACGTTTAATTCTCTCTCATGATGTCATGTAGACTTACAGGGTGGTCTCCAGGACCACAAGGGGGGAAAAAAAAGGTGGGGGTTGAAAAGAGAGAAAAGGAAAAGAGATGTAAAAGATTTGGAAGCACTTTAAAAAGGAGAATGCTTTTTTTTTTTTTTTAAGACAGAAAATGCTGAGCCAGTGTGGAGCCATTCTCAAATGCCTCTTGGTATAAAAAAAAAAATGATGCGAGTGCCACACTGCAGCAGACCCATCCACGCAGGCTGCGCTGGCAAGCAGCAGGGCAAGCGGGAGGCAGACCAGGGCAGGTCATTCTGGTAGTTGCCATCACTTTCTTACACGGGGGTTGACATCGCAGAAGTAAAAAGCGATGACTTTAGTTTAAAAAAAAAAAAAGGTCTCGTCTGCACTTATCATTTGCTGGGGTCAAAGAAACAATTCTTATGGTCTGTGTTGTCATAGTAATAAAAAAAAATAATTACCAAACAGTGAAATAGATTCTGACAGTACCGGCTCGCCGAGCATTTACTCCTCTCCCTCCTTCATTGGCCAACGTGTCTGGGATCAGAAGTGCTGGGTATTTGTAGCTCTTTCAAGTGGTATTCCACTGCTAAAGCCAACATAGAGATAACTACTGCTTTATCTATTGGTAAAAAAAAATCTATGCAGTTTTGATTTTTCTTACATTTCCCTCATTTTATGAGAAACATACTGCATCAGCATCTTTTTTAAATCTGTCATTGTGGAGCTCAGATAAGCATCTTTCCTCTGGGTCGAGTTACACTTGGAGTAGCTTTTAACATTAGACTGTTTATACAGATCATTGCAAATATTTGATAATAATGCAAAATATGTAAGATCCCAGAAGAGACCAAAGACCAGGGAACGTAAATAAAATTCACACAGATTCTGCAAACAACTTTATACTTGGGTTGTCTGTCTGCTTACGAAACACATTTTCTCCTTGTCTATTGTTTGATCTAAAAATGCATTTGTGCCGTCTAAGTTCTTACAAGCATACAAAGATATGTCTGCGTGAAAAACATCACACAAGTGCATCTTTACTTCAGCATGGCACCTTCCTCCGGTCTACAAGTCTATTAAACATATGTGCACCAAACATGAAATATCATCTTTTATGTAATGCCTACAAACCACACATGTGGAAAGGGTGACAGGATGGTATTTATAGGTTTAAAAGAAAATCAGTACAAAGAACAGAGCACCAGAAAATTAGTTTTTGCACTTTTTTATTTATCTGAGATCAGCGAGGAAGATATTGCTTGTCTAATTTAAAGCACGTACTGTTAGAAGTCCCTCAAATGTCAGGAATTATAATAGAATTATACTATGACAGAGTGTCGAGAGGGAGGATTTCCAGGGTTTGCACAGCACTTGGCATGGGGGAAGGGATGCAGAAGCTCCTTGACACGAAATGAAACTACTTCAGTGGCACCAGTGCTTTCTGCAGGCGGTGACGCATGAGGCCAGGGTGCCCCAAATCAGGCTTCCAGCACTGGCTACAAAGCTCATTTAAATCTCTGCTGGCTCAGTTATAAACACAGGTCAAGCCATGTAGCGGGACCAACTCACGTTTCAGAGACGCGTGCCGGGGCTGCGATGGGCGAGAGCAGCCCGGCCGCGGGAAGATCGCTGGGAGAAGCGTGGTCCGGGGGCAGGCAGCGAGGCAGGCACTGCGGTGCTCAGGAGGGGGCTGAAGCCACGGAGGGCCGTGGGCTGGCTTCAGAATGGTACCTGCAACCCACGGCTGCTGTTTCAGAGGTCGGGTTGCAATGTCGACGCTTGCTTGGCCCTCCTGACAAGCCTTAAAGTTGGAAGAGGAAACGTTTCATTGCTGCTGCAGGAGTCTTGGGAAACCTGTCTGAGTCTTTTTCAGGCTTGATTTTAGCGGGGATTTTGCTTCATTGATAATCACATTAAAATTAACAAAACAGAGTGAGTTTGGGTAAGGGTTTTACTTGGAAGGGTGGCCTGCTTTTATTGTAGTGGTTGTTTGGGGCTGGCCAAAGTGGTTCGGTATGCTCTGCGGGATACATCCTGCCACTGCAGCTGAAAATGGACCAAGAGCCGAGAGTCCTGGCTCCAGAAAGGGACTGTAAGAAATACTCTCAGCGATTTGGACCCGCACCATTCAGTGTCAGTGCCACACAGTATAATACGAAGGATAAAAGTTCAGAACATAAAATCCAGAAAGCGAGACAGGAAGCTCACCCACTTCGGGTGGTTTCTCTCTGGTTTGAACATTTCTTTGGCCTGTAGTTTCAGAGGGGCACGTGCGCCTCTGCTGCTCGATTGCTACCTGCCTACAGAAACAGGCACAAAGCTGTTGCCGGTGCAGGTGAAGTAGAGGCAACGGATTACAAATGCAGAAAGTGCTGATGGCAGGCAAACCATTGCCTTTCCTGAAACTTGGCCCATAAGAGCAACAAGAAAAGCTGCAAGGAGACCAAGCAAAGCAGTTATTATTCCAGCTGGTACACCTACAAACATTATTTCCTCCTTTTCCAGCTCTTCCTTTTGGATCCTTGCACTGGCTCCATCCTTCTGGCTGAGCATTGTTTTCTTTGAAACTTTTGTTGGTGCAGCTTTCCAGACGCTGTCATGGTTGATAATTTTCTTAAATAGCCATAAGATGCAAATCTGCGACAAGGTTTCAGCTAAGCGGAGTGATCAGAAGGGGCTCGGAAAAGTTTTACGATGTCCCTGCCCCTGAACAGAGGGGGTAGCCATGGCCCGCACCACCTACACGGGTTGACGCTTAAAGCCACAATATTTCTGGAGATGCTTTGCCCTCCTACGAATGGGGCAGGGTCCCACTAGAGCTGATCCTCCCCCCAAAACTGCCCCTTTGACT